TATTATTTCACGGTGTCAGGCTAGTTTAAGGTTCTTATTATGTTTTGGGACGTGGAAAAGCACATCGATGTGGCAAAGAGACAGACTTTGGGTAATAGTGATTGGAGAATTGTGGGCAATGCACCCTTCGAGACTAGGTTGGATGGATGTTTTCAGATCGAACGGGTCTAGCCATTGGTGTCGTGAGTATAGTGACAATGGTATATTGTCCTTTCATTTCGGGAAAGAATTGTTCTCACATATCCCATTTCCCGATGATGCCATCACTGAGAGTCGTAAAGTATTGAGCATTTTCAACTCTTGCTTATGTTTGCATAATAGAGTGCGCCTCTAATGCGTATGGATAATGAAAAGATACTTGTACGGAATAGATATATGTTATATTTATATGATCTGCAAACTCGGGTTTAAGGATCAATGGCCTCTCTGCTTGCAAGTTGGGTGTGGCATTTGATACGAGTTTCACGATGTTTTAAGAATCAGATGTGTGGATGAATATTTTATGTTCTTTGGGGTGTGATGGAATAAATCAAAATGGATCTCTAAACTGTCTGCGCTTCTTTAATTAATGAAGTAGCAGTTAATCAAGCAATGCAACTTTCGACGTTGAGCCGGGGGTCTATTTGGAAACAGCCTCTCTACTTTCGAGTAGGGGTAAGGTCTGCGTACACACACCCTCCCCATACCCTACTCTTGTGGAATTTAACTGGGTTGTTGTTGTTGTTGTTGCTGCTGCTACCTAGTTTAATTTTTTGGTTGCTTAATTGTTTAAAAGTTTGTTTGAGCTCACTTATGCTATAATTACATGCCTTCTCTCTTTAGTAAATGTAAGTATTGTTTTTTATTACAAAAGAACCGATGCTTAATCTCTTAACTAAGGCTTTGATGTCTATAGTTTTACAACTTCCCAATAGGGTATGGTCTGCCGGTCTGCCCATATGCACCCTTGCTAGTCTCCACTTCTTATGTGATTCTTCTTGATTTATTGTTGAAAAGTCGTGTTTTATTCCAAAAAAGACTTCAATTTTTTTGACCAACATGTTTTTAGCATAATCTTTTGTACTAATTTGTAATTGATAAAATCAAATTCAAATAGGAATAGTGTTTGTTTTTCGTTATGTTAAGAAATACGAATACAAATATTTTCATTTTTGATTTGGTCCAAAAACGTATATATTTGAAAAGATGGTCACAGTTACGAATATAACTTATTAACAAATTAATAGACAATTCACCAATTCGGTTTTTCAAATTTCTATGCCCAAGAAGTATTTAGCCTCTCCTAGATCCTTAATCCTGAATTTGTTCCTCTAAGTGAGTACTGTCCAGCCAGATCTGAGATGGCCTCGGGGATGTGACTCATCTTTTTTTTAAATCCTGAATTTATCATCCACATAGACCAATGTATGCTTCTAATCTTGCTCTAGTTTTTTATTGTACCCTTTGGCAACCAATTTGGCGTTTAATCATTCAACATACACTACCATGAAGATTAAATTTAACTTTCTAAACCCATTTTGAACCAATGGCCTTATGCCTTTTTGGTGAAGGATATAGAGTCTAAGTGTTGTTTGTCTCAAGGGCAGCCAATTCTTGAAACATGGCAATGACCCATCTTGCATGGGTCCATACTAGCTAGAGCATAAGTGGTAGGGGTTTGGATAGTGAGCACATTAGCAATGAAATTAGTGAAACCTAAAGAAAGATTAGAGGATGAGGTGTGGATTGTGGAACAATTGGTTTGGGCTTTGATACTATATAAAAGAACAAACTCATTCAAAAGATCAAATTTGTAGTTGTAAATTCAAGAAAAAAGGTTTTATATTTTAATACGTCTGTACGTGTAGGCGTGATCACTTTAAGCCTTGCACGTGAAGCATAATTTTTTTAAAATGGGTAGCGTTGAGTTTCGAACTCGTGACCATTTGGTCATCGTGGCTCTCATACCATGAGGAGAGAAGAGAAGCTATTCACAATTTGATCCTCATCAACAAAATATGTTTGTTAAAGAGCTTATTCTTTTTGTCCGATCTAATTGGGTTTAACCTTGCATCTAAGTCCAATAATAATAAATGATAAGTACTCCGTATAAGAATAAGGGTGCGTTGCGTATGACTTATTTTTTCTATTTATTACTTATTCTTATTAAAATCAGATCTACCACCAAAGTCCGAGGACTTCATTTTCGTGTTGTCTTTGTTTGTGATATATACTAATTTCAAAAGTACTACCTCCGTCCCACTCTTTTTGTCCAGTTTTGACTTTTGGAACTGTTCATCAAAGCACTTTGACTCATCAAATTCTCCCAATGTGTAAGTCTAAAAATAGTCATGTGTGATCTTGTTTGATTTGTCTTAACATATAGATTATTAATATATAATTTTTATAATTTTTTAATATACAAATTACAAAATAAAATGGATTAAAGAAGTGCATTGGATGGTGTGCAAAAATGAAAATGGATAAAAAGAGTGGGACGGAGGGAGTATGTTGTCTGTAGCTTTTTTTTTTAATAAGAAAAGCGAGACTAACGAGGAAGGAATACTAAAAAGTCAAAAGGACTTGTCGGATCAGGCATGTCTAGTCTTCATCCCGATACTTCAAAAGCATGTTGAATGAAGCTCTCGAGTATTATTAGTACTTGGTAATATTTTATTCGTCGTTTGATTTGACTTGAGACAGGGATTAGGGTATCTTTTGATTAGGAAAAAATATTTTCGAAGAGAAATGATTTCTAAGAAATTATTTTCTAATTATATTTTTTATTGTTTCATAGGAAGAAAATAATTTTTTTTTAAAAAAAACAGTTTTATTATTAATATTGGAAAAGGTTTTTCGAGATGATTTAATAATATTTTAATACTTCCTCCGTCCCCCATAGTTATTCCCAATAGTCATTTCTATTTGTCCTCAATAGATTTTCTCATTATTTTTTTCCAATTGAAATACCAGAACTACCCCACTTACTTTATTCATTACACTTCATCTATCTCATTTAATACACTCCACCCATTTTTATTAAGATCAGAGTATTATGGTAAACTTTATTTTTTTCAACTCTTTTTAATAACCACAAAAAGTCAAAACGAGAATACCTAAGAGAGACTTAGGCAACACATAGTAAATGGAGACGGAGGTAACCAAACATCGTAACACACAATATGAATATTATTGTTGGACTGAGAAAGTATGTAACATGATATACATTTTCTATCGTCCAACCCTCGGGGATGTGGTTTATCACTTCTTTTTTTCATGAGAGGGATGTGAATATGGAACCAAATTCAATTAATATTCTAAGATGAATCATCATTGCTTTGAAATAGTTGTAGTATACCAGTAAATAAAGAGGTCATGAAAATGAGGTAAGCACCCGTGATGTCATTCATCCTTTGACTAAATATATTGAATGTGTAAATACTCCATCCTCTAGATTCTTTCCATTTTGACTTTTAAGAAAATAAAAGATGATAAATTTTTAAATTGATTTTTTCAAAAATATACTTAATGTGATAGGTTAAAAGTGGGATGTAATAAATATATTATTAGTAAAAAGGTATGATGTGAGAAGTAGTGTAAGAATTACTCCCTCCGTCCCAGAGTATTTGTCTACTTTCATTTTTACACACCATTCAATGCACTTCTTTAATCCATTTTATCTTGTTATTTGTATATTAAAAAATTATAAAAATTATATATTAATAATCTATATTTTAAGACAAATCAAACAAGATCACACATTACTATATTTAGGCTTACACATTGAGAGAATTTGATGAGTCAAAGTGCTTAGATGAACAGTTCCAAAAGTCAAAAGTGGACAAAAACTGAGGACGGAGGGAGTAGTAGATATAAAAGTGGTTTTTTAGTAAAAATAAGAATAACTTTGTGAAACGAAGAAAAAGATACTCTGTAAAAGAGAAGGAGTTTATAGCACGGACAGAGTATATAATTTTTGTTTATTTGTATGGATCTAATACATAGTTTTAAAAACTGGATCGGACTAGCTGGTTTGGACCGTGAACTGGTGGTTGAACCGGTCTAGTCGAGTCCTGGCCTTTAGAGTGCAATCAGCATCGAACCAGTTCGAACCGGTAACAACCAGCCGGTCGAACCGGTTGGACCTTTTGTTTGGCGATTTTTTCTCAAAAATATGGGCCATGACGGTTCAAACACCTAACCTTTTACATAGTTCGTTAAGTTATTAATCGTCCAAGCTATAATAAGTTTTGTTACATGTTTGCTTAAAGTTTGTAAATATTCCATAATTAAAAAATAAAAACTGTAAAAAAATTTCTTTTCATTTTTTAAAAACTTTAAAAAATATAATGTTATAGCTATGATTCAAACTCAAAATCATTGATATAATTTGTACTATTACAAAAATGCATATCACATAAATATTTCATTTGAGTGTTTTTTAATATTGAACAACTTATTTGAAAAAAATAAAATCACCTCTTCCTTTATTAAATTTTTTTATTTCTTTTAAATATGTAAAATTTATATTTTAACTTAGTAACACATATAACTCAATTAAATTAATATAATTTTGGTCAAATGTCATAAATTATTTACTCTAGGTATTTATAAATGAGAGATAGAGAGAGTGTGTGTCTATATATATATATATGTATGTATGTATGTATGTATGTATGTATGTATGTGTGTGTGTGTGTGTGTGTGTGTGTGTGTGTATAATTTTAAATATGTTTAAACCACTGGTTCGACCAGTGAAACTAGCAGCTAGATCGGATTGGTCACCGGTCGAATTCTTAAAACAATGTCTGATACATTATTTATTTAATAAAATAAAATATTCATGTAAAATTTTGTTTATGTAGTAACTCAATTTTTATTTTTTATTTTTATACAAATGAATGAGAACACTTAAATTTTACCACCTTTTGACTTTCATGCAAGTATTTGTCTATATCCTCCATTTCAAATGTCCGAGCCATTTTTTCTCTATATATTTATCTCTAGATCTCACATGGTATAATATTATCAGAGCTATTTTGTCTTTTAAAAAGCCGGCAAACTTCCCGGAAATATTTCCGGCGAGTGTTAAATTATTTCATCTACAAGTGTATGTTTCCCCTTCTTGAAGAGTAATTATATTATTTGTCGTAGAAATTAAACAAGTCTCTAGCTGGCAATAACTTCCGACAATTTTCATATTCTCTTAGCTTTGGTGTGTGTAATCTTCTTCATACTAAAAGACTCATACTAATCTCTTTCTTCATCATCTTCTTCATTTTCTTTAGGAAGAATTTACTAACATATATAATTTCCCTAATCCACTCATTTGTTTTTTGATCAACAGATGGAGAAAGTGAATGAGCGTCAACCTTTTTCAGAAATACCCAGTGCCTTGTTATGGGAAATTCTTGGTAGAGTTCCCAACAAGACATGTTTGACTTGTAAGCTTGTTTGCAAAGAATGGTATCATATTGTTGTCAATCGAGAATTCTCTTATTTTCACCGCCATCGTAAAGCTTCCTCTTTTGCCTTGTTGTTTCATAACGTTTGGAGTGATGGTGAGGGGTTGGTTTTCAATTTGGTTGAGATCGATAAGGAATTGGATGTCGATGGTTCGCGGAAATGTGTTGTGGGTGTTGATCGTATGATTACGGTTCACCCGAAAATTGACACCTCTAATGACATATGGTATGTGATGTCTCATTGCAATGGGGTTGTTTGTTTCATAAGTACGAAGATTGACTACTTCGTATGCAATTTGCTCACGGGCCAGAATGTGAAGTTACAAAATCTGCACGAATTGAGGAACCCACATTCTTCTATATCAAGTTGTGTACTGGGGTGCTGCCCAACGTCAGGTCAATTCAAAATTCTCATTTTACTTTCAGATATGGCAAAAAATATCCAACAAGCAATGATACAAACTTTGGGTAATGATGAATGGAGGAGCGTAGGCACTGCACCCTTGAAGATTAGGGAAGATGGATGTTTTCTGAACGGGTCTAGTCATTGGCTTGACCAAAACTATATATGGTCATTTCATTTCGGGAAAGAAAAGTTTTCTCAAATCCAATTACCTGATGATGTCATCGCTCGGGCCTATAAGAAGAAAAATACTGTATTGAGTGTTTACGACTCTTGCCTATGTTTGTGCTGTTTCTCTGAGGGTGATAGTGTTAAGGGCGACACATGGATTATGAAGAAGTATGGTGTGAAAGAATCTTGGGTTAAGCATATGCAAAAGGGAAAGATACTAATAAAAAGTGAATATGAATTATATTTATATGATCTACAATCTCATGTTTCCAAAAGAGTGGAGTTTGAGCACAATGAGCTTTCTGATCCCATGCTGCGGATAGCACCATTTGATGCAAGTTTCTCGAGATTTTAAAATTTTATCTAAACACTTGTGTTCCTTGTTTCTAGATTTTTCTTATACTTGCTTAATTGTTTTAGAGCTTGTTTAGTTTATAATATTGTCTTCTAATTTAAAAGTATTATTTTTTTACAGAAAAATCAATATTGTTTTGATCCCTTAAATGAGCATTAGAAGTAGTGTGCATTCTTACTACCTAAAGAAGGGAAAAACTTTGCATTCCTTAATCATGACAAACAAATTTTGATTTATGGAACACTTATTAGTTATGGGTGGGGTTCCATGACATTGGAATCCAATATCTTGGGAACCTTGGTGATTAGTTATTACGAGTGTGTTTGGTTGGGGGCAGTAAAAGTCGAGATAAAAAAAGTCCAGATCTCGAAGATCTATGACCATTTTTCATATAATACTCTTAAAGAGTATCCTACATCGTAACTTGAAGAGAAAATAAATCGATATATAAGCTCTGAGTTGAATTAAAATAAATCAATATTTCATTTTTGCCTCACCACTATTGGTATTCTTACGAATGGGAAATCGTTGGGGTCCTAATTAGAACTCAAGTAGTCATGTGAGAGGATGACATAATATTCCAATGTAACGCCCTAGAAACCGATCTAGGAGGTAGTTGCAATTCTGAATAAATAAATATTACTACATCCGTTCCTGAGTATTTGTCCAGTTTTGACTTTTTCCGGTCAACTATGTTTAACCTTTGACCTATAATTAAATAAAATATATATTGTATATTAATTAGATAAAATAATATTTTGAAAACATTTGACATGATAAGTCTAATAAAATTATTTTTGTATCAATATCTAATATTATTTTTATTTAATTTAAAGTCAAAGTTTACAAATTTTGACCGAAAAAAGTCAAATGTGAACAAATACTCGGGGACGGAGGGAGTATATATTTATGTTGAATTAATTATCTTAAGTAATTAAATATTACTGTGAAGATTTTAGTCGCTCACTTGTGATTAAAACGATATGTCTTATTTAATTAAATAAACTTAAAGATTATGTTTAGCGGGTGTATCGATATTAATGAATTAAAATATTAATTACTGACTGCGACAAATTCAGAATGAGAAAGTATAAAATTGTGGGAATGTACTTTTGAACATATTGTTACTCTAGTTTCGACAACCTGATTCTTAAAACACGAGCAGAATCGAATATAGAGCTATTGAGTGAGGAGTACATACTCACTCGTTTTCTTGTTAAAAATACAAGAAAGCTATAATATTAATATTATACATACAATATTAGTGACAATAGATAAAGTTCGTGAAAAGATTATTAACAACATATGTATTGAGATTTAGGCATACATATTTTTGACTAAAATATACTTTGCAGTAGAATAATTAAATGAAATAATTGTATTTAATAACAACAACAACAACAACAACAATAATGATTATTATTATTATTATTATTATTATTATTATTATTATTATTATTATTATTATTATTATGCCCGATATTAAACCAAAACCCCTCTCGGAAATAACACGAAGTACTACGTGGGGGGAAGAAGGAAAATCTAAGGAGTGTTATTGTGGGGAGAAGAAGGCAGCCGCTGATCAATTCGCCGTTATCGCTGCCGCCGGTCGCCGGCCTCCGTTCATTTTCTTTGTTGATACGATCCGTCTGATTTGTTCAATTATTGAGGTGAGTCGTGGTTCACATTAATTTATAGATTAAAACTTCATTGAAGTACCCTTTTTCTAATAATTGAATGTTGAATCGGTGATTTCATTGGATTTGATTGAGGTTCTTGGGATGTTAATTTTGAATAGTTTGCTCCCCAAATTTACTACTGGACCAATATCAAAACCTTGTTTTTCTATTTCCCCTGTTAGTAATCTACTTGTGTTCGTTTGAGCAACAGATGCAAAATGTCAAACAGCATCAACCTTTTTCTGAAATCCCTTCTGTCATATTATGGGAAATTCTGGGCCGAGTTCCGATTAAGACGTGTTTAGCTTGTAAGCTTGTTTGCAAAGAATGGTATCATATTGTTGTCACTCCAGAATTCTCTTCTTTCCGCCTCCGTTGTAATGCCTCTCGATTCACCACCATCTTGTTTTATAACGGGTGGGTTTCTGGTGGCGGGGGTGTGGATTTCCACATGGTCGAGTTTGAAAAGGCCTTGGATGTGGATGATTCGGATAATGATGTGGGCGTTGATGATCTGAGTATTATTAAGGTTCTACAAAAATTTGGCGCACCCGGCCAAAGATTGCACGTGAGCTCTCAATGCAACGGGGTTGTTTGTTTGGAAAATAACAACGATGACTACTTTGTGTGCAATTTGCTCACCTCCCAGTGTGTGAATGTCCTAAATGTGCATCAACTGAAGAAGCAGTATGAAATAATCAGTTGTGAATTGGGGTGTTGCCCGACGTCAGGCCAATTCAAGGTTCTTATTATGCTATGGGACACGGCGAAGAAGATCCAACTGGCAAAAATACAGACTTTGGGTAATGGTGAATGGAGGAACGTGGACAATGTGCCCTTGAGGATGCTGAGTGGTGGTGGGTGTTATCTAAATGGGTCTAGTCACTGGTGTGGTCGCACCTACATATGGGTCTTTCATTTTGGGACGGAGATGTTTATGCGAATGCCCATACCTGACAATATCACCAGTGCGAACTATACGAAGCAAACGAAAAAATTGAGTGTTTTAGACTCTTGCCTGTGTTTGAGATGTTTCTCCCAATCCCCAGACAAGAGTCATGGTATTGTTGAGATGGACATATGGATAATGAAAAAGTATGGTGTCAAAAGTTCTTGGGTGAGGCAAGTTGTCATAGTAACCAAAGCAATGAGTGTGCCTATGGTGCATATGGATAAGGGAAAGATACTTGTAAGGACTGGAGTTAAATTGAATTTATATGATCCGCAAACCCAGGTTTCTAAGGTAGTGAAATATGAGCTCAATCGGGTTTGTAGTTACCTGGTGCCGTTCGCGGCATTTGATGCAAGATTCTCTAGGTTTTAAAGATTCAGGTATTCTTCTCACGTCTTGATTAACTTTTGTGTTACAAGTTAGCTCGCTTTCTTTGAAGTTTACGGTCCTCTTTGGGATGACATTTGATGAACTGCTTTCTCATTTTAGCTTTTGCTTTCTTTGAAGTTTAAGAGCCTCTTATGGATACTATTTGATAAATTGCTTTCTCATACAAGAAAGACACTTATAAAGAGCTCATTTTAGCATGCAAAAATAACTTCTTTTGTTTTAAACTTCATTGTTATACAGCTTTTCTTACTCTACAATTTTTCATTGGGCCATGTTAGGGTACACTAAAATGGTGTATCCCATTTGTACACCAGTCGAACACGGAGTTCCTATGATCTACAGACATCTTGTGTTTGTGATTGTCTGGTGTGCAAATATGGTACCCCTCGCTTTATTGTTTTTCATTTTTACAATACCCTGCACAGAAAATTGCTGCTAGGTACCTTCGGTTTTGTGATAAGAACTCACAGGTCCCATCTTTTTTAAAATATACTCCGGGGTACCTTTAATTATCTGAAAACTAACTCTGGGGGGACTTTCTGTCCATCCCTCCGTCAAATTTATTTTCTCCGTTAACTTTTCATCATCTTCTTCCCAAAAATTGTTGTCACGTACCCTCAATTTTGTAGAAATAACTTTCAGATCCCATCATTTTTAAAAATATACTCCTGGTACCTTAAAATATCCAAAAACATGCTTTGGAAGAATTTTCCTTTATTGTTATTATTATTCTTAGATTATTATTATTATTATTATTATTGTGTGACTATTACTACTATTATTACTATTATTATTATTATTATATTATTGTTATTGTTATTATTATTATTACTATTACTAGTATTACTATTATTACAGAGTATTATTATTATTAGTCACTTCATCATTATCTTCCGCAGCTGTCACTCACTACCGCTTTGCTTATTGAGTTGCGTTGGATTTTCGCTACACGCACTAGAATAATAATAATAAATATAATAATAATAATAATAATAATAATAATAATAATAATAATAATAATAATCGTGATAGTAATACTAATAGTAATAATAATCGCAATAATAATAATAATAATAAAAGGAAAATCCCCCATAGTATTTTTTTTTTTTTGATATTTTAGGGTACCCCGGAGTATACTTTTAAAAATGATGGGACCTGAAAGTTACTTTTACAAAATTGGGGGTACCTAACAGCAAATTTTGAAAAAAATGATGAAAAGATAACGGAGAAAATGAATTTGACGGAGGAATGGACGGAATGTCCCCCTCAAAGTAAGTTTTCGGATAATTAAAGGTACCCCGAAGTATATTTTTCAAAAATATGGGAACTGTGAGTTCTTATCACAAAATTGAAGGAACCGTAAGCAAATTTCTGTACCCCGCATGATAAATCTGCACCCTCAATTTCCATGGTTTACCATACTCCATCCTTCCCAAGATTTGAGTCTAATGATTGGAATAACTGAAAAGCAAACAAATCGAAACTGAAAAGAATGACCCCATTGAAAAAGAAAATTCTACAAAAATATGTGCAAAACGTTGTGTTTATTCCCAAAATAAGTGTGATATGTTTTTGGAAAAAATACTCAAAATAATCCCAACTTTACCTGGTCTTTCAAAAATAATTCCACCTTTCACTGTGATGCATAATAATCCCAACTTTACTTAAATTTGTCAATTTTGGGTCGCCGTTAAGTTTCTAACAGAGGGTTAACGGAAATGCCCGTTTTGGGCAACAAAATGAAAGTTGGGATTATTTTTTATGAATTTTCATTTTTTTCATTTTTTTTTAATTTTTTATTTAAATTTTTTAAATTACTTTCTACCTCCATCATTATTTCTTTTTCCTTTTTTAAAGATTAGTCTTAGTTTTAAAAATAAAAATAATAGATATAAAAAATGAAAAAATGAGAAATGTAACTAAAATGATACAAAAATAATAAAATAAATAAGGTAATCAATGGAAACTAACTTGAAATTGGTAAGAGTAAAATAAAAATATACGGGTGGGTTTTAATATTTTACGTATTATACGAAGTATTAACATATCACTACTTATTTTTTAGAAAAAATTATCTACAATAATTCCAGGTTTACCGGACGGCTTGTTCTTTTAAAAAATAAGTAGTATATTAAGACTTCGTACAGTGTGTAAAATGTTAAAACCCACCACTACGTATATATTTATTTTATTTCTTACCAGTTTCTGTTTAATTTCTATTGATTACATTATTTATTTGATTAATTTGTACTGTTTTAGTTATTTTGTCATTTTCATTATTTTTATATCTATTTTTTTTCTAAGGTAAGAATAATCTTTAAAAAAGAAAAAGAAATGGAGGTTGAAAGTAATTCAAAAAATTTAAATAAAAATTTCAAAAAAAATTAAAAAATAAAAATTCATCAAAAATAATCCCAACTTTCATTTTGTTGTCTAAAACGGGCATTTCCGTTAACTCTCCGTTAGAAACTTAACGGCGACCCAAAATTGACAAATTTCAATAAAGTTGAGATTATTACGCATCACAGTGAAAGATGTGATTATTTTTGAAAGACCGGGTAAAATTGGGATTATTTTGGGTAATTTTTCCTAATTTCTATTGATTATATTATTTATTTGATTAATTTGTACTGTTTTAGTTATTTTTGTCATTTTCATCATTTTTATATCTATTTTTTTTCTAAGGTAAGAATAATCTTTAAAAAAGAAAAAGAAATGGAGGTTGAAAGTAATTCAAAAAATTTAAATAAATATTTCAAAAAAAATTAAAAAATAAAAATTCATCAAAAATAATCCCAACTTTCATTTTGTTGTCTAAAACGGGCATTTCCGTTAACCCTCCGTTAGAAACTTAACGGCGACCCAAAATTGGCAAATTTCAATAAATTTGGGATTATTATGCATCACAGTGAAAGATGGGATTATTTTTGAAAGACCGGGTAAAATTGGGATTATTTTGGGTAATTTTTCCTATGTTTTTCTCTAAATTAAGATTAGTACAAGGTTACATTACGATATTGCATATTCGCATTCCACAATATTTTCTGGTATTATACTTTGGCATTACAGGCACACAAGATTATATTCCAGACGTACTTGAATTCTAGGTAATGTAGTCCTAGAGTACAGAAAAATAATATTTTTACAAAGTACTTTAGTATAAATCAACGAAATATTATTAAAAAAATAAACAAATAGAGTAGGATTAAAAATGGTATAAAAAATTAAACAAATAGAATATGGTTAAAAAATCACACAAATGTTATCCATTCATTAATTTCTTTCTCCTTTCTTATTTTGGCAACAAAATTTTAATAAATGTGTCATTATACGCATAGTTTTATTTACATTGCTCATTTTATTCCATCACATCAAAAGCAAACATGAAAAGTTCTTACGTTTTTTATAGAGGTGGCAATCGGATCAACCGGATCGGTTCCGGATTGAACTTTTTCGGTTCGGATATCTTTCGGTTATATGTTATATTCGGTTCGGTTCGGATCGGTTAAATTTCGGTTCGGATTTGATTTCGGTTCTATACATTTTTCGGTTCGGTTCGGTTTCGAGTCGGTTCAGATACGGTTCGGTTATGAATCGGTTCGGATAGATTTTGATTCGGATACAATTTGAGTCGGATATATTTCGGTTTCGGGTCTAGTCCGGTTCGGATATATTTCGGTTTCGGATATATTCGATCGAGTGGACTACAAATTATGAAAAAATATATTTTATGATGATATAAATTTAATATCATAATATTACTTATAAAATTTAGTTTTGATATATTAAAATTTTATCACTTCAAATAATATTATGAGTAATTTACCTAAATAGGGCTAAACACAATGACTTTCCCAATATAGGATCATATGTTTTTATTTCCCAATGTAGGACTTTTGGTCATTATTAATTAGTCATTATTCAAGTAAATGTCCATTATTAATTTATTACTGGGCATTATTCCTCCCACTAATACATTATTAAGTTCTCTCTAAGGAATAAAAAAGTTTAAGTCCTAGATTAAGAAAGTAATTATNAAAAGATAAAAGATAAATTCAAATCGTATTAGGATTGTGTTACCACTTTTTGGGGAAGATGAGTCGAAGCAACTAGTTTTTATCTCGTGTTTTGCACTGACTCGCATACTTTTTTTATAAGTATAGCTATTTAAAAATGGTACTCCGTATTATATTAAAAAATAAAACTCACATTAAATAAATAAGAAAATAACTCTTTAAGTAATCCAATTACAATGTCTATTATTGATGGAATACATAAATATTATACATGTATGTGCATATGAAAAATAATACATTAACTCTTCTTAAATAACTTTGTTAGACATTTCATTTTTTTGTACATATCGTGGTATGTGAGGGTATGATGTATTTATTAATTTCTTCTATGAATCTTATTATTCTACACTTTATTTGACTAATTATATTTATAATTTTGATAGAAAATATATTTTTAGTTTTTAAGGAAAAGTTTTACTTTTTTGTTTTATTTTACCATCTTTGATAATTAAAATTTATTTGTATTTATTATAATTTTTTAATTATAAAATTACATGCATTATAAGTTTTTTTAGAAATTTGGATATGATAACTTATTGTAGCCAGACCATTACCGGTTCGGGTATTATCGGTTTCGGTAGGGCTGTCAACGGATAGCCGAAAATCCGATTACCGTCCGCATCCGAATTCGTTTAAAGAGGAAATATCCGCATCCGTTTTAAACAGATATTATCCGTATCCGATTAAGGATATCCGATTACTAAACGGATACAGATTTGGTAATTGTATATCCGATCCGTTTAAAATCCGATCCAAATATGCATCCGTTTAAATAACCGTTTATCCAAATATCTGATCCGTTATATATAGTTTTTCCTAATTTTTTATGTTTATATTTTGTTTCTCTATTGATATTTCAAAATATAAAACTTTTTAAATACAAAATAAATGTGTAGACACATAAAATATGTACATACATATAAAAATATGTGTATATGTGTGTTGTGTATATCTTTTTATCATATGAAGTTATCGTAGAATATCATAAATCATGAAAACAAAAGAAAATAGTTATCCCATACCAAATTATAGTTGATTTAATAATAGTTTGACTTTAATCTAATTTAAAATTAAAGTATTGATTAATTTGATTTTAAAAATTGGAAACGGATACGAATATATCCGATATCTGACCGATATCCGACGGATGCGGATACGGTTTTGATTTTCAGTATCCGTCAAGATCCGTATCCGAATTCGATATCCGACAAAAATAAACGGATACGGATTTGGTAATGGCACATCCGATCCGATTAATATCCGTTTACAGCCCTAGGTTTCGGATCTAATCGATTTCGGGTATTATCGGTTTCGGATCTAATCGGTTTCGGGTATTATCGATTTCGGATCTAATCGGTTTCGAGTTTAATCGGTTCGGATATTATCGGTTTCGGATCTAATCGGTTTCGGATTTAAATCGGATATGAATTATTTTAGTTCGGTTTCGGTTCGATTCGGATCATTTCGGGTTTTCGGTTATAGATCAGATCTTCATTTTTCGGGTCATTTTGGTTTCGGTTTTGGATATTTCGGTTCAGGTAATCAGTTCCGGTTCTGTTTTGCCAGCTCTAGTTTTTTAATTTTTTTTACTCTTCGTTCCAAGTCAACGCGGAAAAGAGTTTTTTGAAGAAAAAACAAAAATATTAAAGCAATCTAAAGTGAAAGAACAGAAAAGTTCTAAAATAAAATTAACGGAGAAAAGAATAATTTTTTATTTTAATAGAAACTTTGGATAATTAAGATTTGATTTTACGTATAAAATAAGGATGAGATGTTCTTCCATGATCTAACATGGAGATCATTTTTTTCAAACAGCTCAATTATTCATGATATTTATATACTAAAGTTCATATAAAACGAGTGTATCCACATACAAATTTATGATTAAAGATTTAAGGAATTATCTTAAATAGAAGTAAAACATAAAAGAAGTATAAAAATATGAATTTCATGTTTTATACCCATAATAAGAATTTGCATTGTGATAATATTGTATTGTATATGAAAATTTCACAATATATTTTGGTAATATATATAGTCATAATTGACACTGTAAATATATTTTCTTATTTTGTAAATAAGAACATGGAACTTTTATTTTAATATACTCCGGGGTATGTTCAAAATTTTACTCCGACCTTAGCTTTTTCAGTTAAAAAATTAAATTATACAAGGACTCCGTAAAAATGAAGTAATCCTGCTAGTAGGACACATCGGTGCAAAAAAAAAAAAGAACTCTTTTCCTTTTCCCAAAACCGAAATACTGGGTTGCAGTTAGAGCTGGCAAATCGGTCGGTCAGGTCGGGTTCGGGTTCGGTCACTTCAAGTTCGGGTTATTTCGGGTTCGGGTCCATTCGGGTTCGGGTTGAGAATTATATGTTCATGACCCAGTGTCATCGGGTTCGGGTCGACCCAATGGGTTATGACATTGATTTTTTCAATTTTTAAATTCACAATAACACTTACATTTTCTATTAAATAAATTTAAAATATCAAAAAAATGTATTAAATCTATTAAATTATTTTATTTTAAACTCTGAAGTAATTTTTAGATATATAAATCAATATAAAGAATTTAAAAATGCTTAAATTTTGGAAAAAAGTAAGATAATTATGTAATATCATTAAAATTTTGTCTCAAAATATAAATTTATACGCTAAAAATGAGTAAAAAAGTGTATAATTTTGAAAAATTCTTACTTTAGCGGGTCGGTCAGGTCGGGTTCGGGTTCGATCGGGTTTGACCTATTTTTAGCAGGTCATTTCGAGTTCGGTCAACTTCGGGTTCGGTAAGCAAAACCTTTGTTCAAAATCCAGTGTTTTTAGGTCGGGTTTCGGGTCACAAACAAAAGTCAATTTTTTGCCTGGTACTTGCAGTCGAGTGTTCTTCTGCTTATCCCTAATTGGATTGTTTGATTTGAAGACGAAGAAGGGGGTAAATCGTTTATCTCTTCTCTCACTCTCTTAGCATTTGTGTATGTAGATTTGTATGCAATCTTTATATATATTTATGATTTAGAATCCTCAAAATTTCCCAAATTTTTTATTTTTTTCGGTGATGCTTTTCACAGTTCTGGATTGGAATTAAACTCACCCAGTACTAATCTTCATACGAATCGTCTTCTTCTTCTTCTTCCTGCTGCTGAACAGATGATGAAGAAGGTGAAAGAGGATGAACCCATTTCAAAAATACCCTCCGCCATGTTGTGGGAAATTCTGGGCAGAGTTCCCATCAATACATGTTTAACTTGTAAGCTTGTTTGCAAAGAATGGCACAAAATCATCGTCGCTCCAGGATTCTTTTCTTTCCGCCGCCAATGTAATTCCCGTTTTACCCTCTTGTTTCGAGATGGTTGGGGTACCCGTGGAAGGTTGGTTTGTAATTTGGTTGAGATTGATAAGGCATTAGATGTTGATGATTTGGGTGAACATATAGTGGGCGCTGATCATGTGATTAGGGTCGAACCAGGAAGTCACGTCTCGGGTAAAATGTGGTATTTGATGTCTCTTTGCAATGAGGTTGTTTGTTTCCAAAGCGACGCATGGGATGACTACTTCATAGTCAATTTCTTCTCGGGCCAACTTGTGAAGTTACAAAATATGCATCAAGTGGTGAGTGAATCTTTGTATGAACTTGGCTGTGAAGTGGGGTGCTGCCCGGTGTCAGGCCAATTCAAGGTTCTCTTTTTGTTTAGGGACGATACCAATAAGACCATGGCAAAGATACAAACTTTGGGTAATGGTGAATGGAGGAGTGTGGGCAATGCACCCGTCTCAGTGCTTTATGAGGATAATTGTTTTCTGAACGGCTCTAGTCATTGGCGAGGTGACAATTGTGTATGGTCCTTTCATTTTGGGAAAGAAGAGTTCTCCCAAATCCCACTTCCTGATGATATAATCTCTGCTGCCCATAAGAAGAAAAAACAATTGAACGCTTTCGGCACTTGCCTATGTTTGGGCATTTTCGACTCTTGCCTATGTTTGAGCGGTTTCATCGGGAGTGTTAGTGTTGGGGTCCACATATGGGTTATGAAGGAGTACGGTGTGAAAGAGTCTTGGGTGAAGCAGATTGCCGTAGTGAATGATAATATATGGAGTGTGCCTGTGGTGCAGTTGGATAAGGGAAAACTGCTTGTAACTTATGGACATGGATTATATTTATATGATCCGCGAACCAAGCTTTCTAAGAGAGTGAAATTAGAGCGCAATGAGCCTGATTGTTGCTTCTCGACGGTGGTGGCTTCGGGGGATGCAAAGTTCTTGAGGTTTTAAAGATTCAGGTATTCTTCTATGGTCTTAATGAGCACTAGTGATACAAGTCAGCTGTTTTTTAGTAGTTTATGAGACTATTTGGAATAGTTTATGGTGAAATTGCTTTCTCGCTTTGGCAACCAGTTGCATATATTGCCTTACGTGAGAACCTTGACGCGGGATAGATCGGTAGAACCACTCACTGCAACCCCAACAGACTGAGTTCCGACATCTAAGGCCATTATGTGTGGCTGAACCTGATCATCCTTCAACCAATTCTTCCTCTCTAGGAATTCGTATTAGAAATCATCCTAAATAGGACTAAATCATAGAGAAAAGTACCAGAATAGTTTTTTCATGTTTTTTTCCCAGAATAGGACTTTCATGTTTTTTTCCCAGAATAGGACTTTGCATTGTGGTAATGTGGCAGTGTACATGTGCAAATTACTATACTTTCTTGGTAATGTATATGACCAAGTTTGGTAATGTAAGTCCTATTTCGGGAATAAAAACATGGAAGTCCTATTTTGGTATATCTTCAATGTTTTAGTCCTACTTTGGTCTTTCTCCCAATTCGTATTTCATCACCGCCTTTCTAAACTTCGAATACATATTTATCACACCCGCTTCCTTTGGAAGAACCAAAGGAAGTCGTTGCTGCTCCGGAAGCAGTGGTGCTGAGCCGTTGCTGCATTGCAATTTAATAATTAACAGTAAGTTTATAATATATACTTTAATTAAACATATGTACTTTGGTAAAAATGAATTATATAATTTATCAAATAATAAATTTAAAAAATCGTTTAGGGCTTTTGTATAGTGGGGAGGGGCGAAGTTTGAAATTATATACTCCCTCCGTCCTAATTCTTTCTTCCCAGTTTGACTTTTCTCCATTTTTAATTTTTGGCTTTGACTTCAAATTTTACCCTCCTTAAAAAAAAATTTTGAATTTTTTTTTTACAATCATTCAAAATATAGAGTTAGAAGATAATTGGTGTAAATACATGAGGGTATTAATGTCATTTGTCATCTTTTTTTTCTAATGGGAAGGTAGTTTTAGGACGGAGAAAAAGGGGAAGTGGGAAGAAAGTTTTAGGACGGAGGGAGTAATTTATTTTTACCAAAGTACATATTTTTAATTAAATTATATATTATAAACCTACAATTAATTATTAAATTGTAACGGCTTAGCACCGTAGCTGCTGGAGCAGAAATGGCTTCCTTTGGTTCTTCCAAAGGAAGCCAGTGTGATAAATATGTATGCGAAGTTTAGAAAGGCGGTGATGAAATACGAATTCTTAGAGAGAAAGAACTGATTGAAGGATGATCAGGTTCAGCTACACATAATGGCCTTAGATGTGGGAACTCAGTCTGTTGGGGTTGCGGTGAGCGATTTTACCGATCTATCAGACGTCAAGGCTCTCACGTAAGGCAATATATGCATTTGGTTTTTTTACATAAAAAAAATGCACCAATTATGTGACTTTTGTGATTCTTATAAAATTGCTCCTCTTCCTCAATGCAATTCTATGTTAGTTGATTATTGAATGTTGAATGAATTTGGACATACTTCATGTCTGCATTCAACCAATTCGTTTAATATATCGAGAACGAAATAAGTCACTCCAACAAGAGCAGAAAGAGTAAGCATTAAGAATGTGAACTTCTTTAACGGCCAAAAACAACAATATTTCTTTGCAAACAATTTTCTTTCACCAAAGTTACTGGATAGAACTAAAAAGTTTTTTAAGATACCTCGAGTAAGCAGAAAGTAAAGACTCCCAAGTCCACACATCTCGTAGAATTATTAATTAAGCATCCGGGGAAAAAAAGGTCATTATCTTAATGGCATATTATAACTAAACAGTACCCTTATTAATCCTTGATTTGTTTTGTATTTCTGAAACAGAAAATAACATCTGTTTCCTTTGGGATTTAAGTAGGGGTGCTAGGATGGTGTTGGACAGACTTGGCAAAAATGGACCTAGACTTGTTTTTCGTTGAAGACCCGACCCGGTTTTGAACAAAGGTTAACCGAGTCCAAAGATGACCGAACTCGGTATAAACTGCTAAAAATGGATCAAACCAGAACCCAAAACAACCTGCTAAAAATGGGTTGATCTCCACCGGAGCGATTCACTGAGAAAAGATTTTCAAGTTTGATATATATAATGTGAAAAAAAGCTATTACAACTCAAAACTAGCTAGGCAAATAAAAACCAAAAATGGGGGGGGGGGGGGGG